TTGGTGGTAATAGTGGTGGGTTGTCGAATAATTTTGGAGTACTGGGCGTACTTTTGATGACCTGGTTGGTGGTAATAGCGGCGGGTTGCCGAATAATTGTGGAGTACTGGGCGTACTTTTGATGACCTGGTTGGTGCTATTTTGGTCTTATGGGCCTTCACCCTCCACAACATGCCAGCCCATTTGTTTTGGGTTTTGCCTTTTTTTTTTAATTACCCTCTGATGGGGTTTATACATATTACCCTATGAAGGGGTATACAGATGTCTTCGAAAGATAATAAATTACATCATTCTGGTGGAGTGTTTATTCCTTGCTTTTGTTTTTCTCTTTTCTTTTCTGCTTTTGTAATTATCTCAGTGGGTAGCCATGCTTTCTGCTTTGCTCTTTTACTTTGCTTTGCTTTTGCTTTCCACTTTAATTATTCTGTTACTGGTTCTTGGTGGAGAAAATAGAGGAGGTGGAAAAGCAGTCAAAGTCTTGGAGCAATTGGTCCATTCTCCCACTCCCTGCAACTTTTAAGATTCCCATAATTGGCATTATAACCTACCACTGGATTTCCAATAGCAGTTGCAGCTCTTGCTCTCTTTTCTGTGTCAGCAATTTCATGATCAGAACATGAGAAACCCTGGCGACACCTAGAGCATGACTGCTTTGATGATGCATCAGTAGCAGGAGCTGTAGTAGGAGCAGAAACAGGATCCTTAGGCTTCGGCTTCGCCAACACTGGTTTCTCTGTTGTGTGTTTACCTGTCTTACATCCTGGTAATTCTAAAAATAAGGTGAAATCATGACTTCTTTGCTTGCAACAACTCACTCTTTAATCCCATCATGAAATATAGGTCCCGAATCATGGTATTGACAGGAGCCTTCGGGATTGTCGTTCTCGGAAAACATGGCGTTGCAGCCAATTCGCTGGCATTGAAACAAAACTGCCCGCTGACTCTCCATCCACCCTCATCGATCTCTGTGTCTGCCTGAGAAAAATATCAAAAAAAGGGAAGGGAAACAAAAAGAAGACGACGCCAGAGGAGGGGGGCGACGGAGGAGGGGGACGATTGGGGGAGGAAGACCAGAAAAGAAAGACTGACTAGATAATCCCCAACAGAGTACAAGAAACAGATCCGTACTTAATTATTCCCATATGTGGCCCATATGCTCATTGTGGCAAGCCCGTCAGTACTTAACCCCTCACAGGACAAAAGCACGAGGAGCTTGAAATTCTTGAAAGACTTGGCAATCAGCTCCAATGTCTCGTCGGTGACGACCATCCTCTTGAGTTTGATCTCTTCGAGCTAAGGGTAGGCGTTGGCCATGGCGGCGATTGATGCGAAAATTAACTTAATACACAAATTTAACCCTCTTTTGACAACTGTAGTATAAGTAGGGATCGTTTTGGACCGGGGATTAGGAGGGCTTGCTAATAACCTCTAAACTGACTCAAAAACATAAAACTAAACTTAAAAACACTTAACAAGACTCACAAGACTCAAAGCAAACTTAAAATACTCAAAACAGCTTAAAACAACCAAATAAACTTAAACTAGACACTAGAAATGACTTTGGACGAAAATTGACTTTTACTTGAATCAAAACACTTAAAAACACAAACTAAAACAAATTTGAAACACTTTGAAACAAGAAACTAAAAGGGGGTTTTGATTTGGATGAAGTTGAAACAAACAAACAAGTATGAAAAATTAGACAGATTGTAAAATAAATTTGAGAAATTAGATGATGGATGGGATAGCTAGAGGCTTTTTCTCCACACATGACATGTATGCAATTAACTCGATTTCCAGTTACTACTTCATTGAATTATGAACGACAATGCTCCAAATTAACCGTGACATCACTAGTTAACTCTCAAATTTTCCTTGTTTTATTGGATTGGATGACATCATTCGACAACCCAAAACATTCTTCTAAAGTTCCCTACATGACATCATAATAGAGATACAATCAAATATCATTACGTTTAATGAAAATTATAAGCATTGACAAAGCACTTGCAACTATGACATCATGTCACTCATGCTAGGAATTGAACTTAACGCAATCGTTTATAAGCGACCTTCACTACATGTGAATATAAGTTTGTAACGATTATGTGAAACTTCCTTATATTCTAGCAACGGATTTATGCATGCCAATTAAGTGTCGACCCTTAATTAACAAATACAAATAAGTTATCAATCAAATAGTTAAGCCAATTGCATTCACGATTCAAGAGTTCATAACTGGAATTTATCAAATTATATTGCACACATAATCATGGCTTTGAAATCACCCCTAGTCAAGAGGGGTTTAGCCACTCATATTTACAACAAAACGAAAGGAAATGAATTTAAACATTAGAAACAAAAGAAAGAAAACACCTAAACGCTCAAATGATCCAAGTTGGACAGCAAGCACGTCCAAGCACTTTCTTTCCCTTCCTTTGCTACAGCACAAGGTGTTGGTGAGTGTTTGAAGGTTTGTTTGTATGGAGGAATGGATGTGAAGATGAATGGATGTGTTTGGATGAAGGTTGTGTTGAAATGGGAGTGAATGATCTAACAAAGTATGATGCATGAAATCTGAAATGATTGAGGGAACAAGGAATGGTGTAGCAATTGAGTGCAATGATTCAATGTAATGATGCATGAAATCTGAAATGATGGAGGGAACAAGGAATGGTATAGCAATTGAGTGCAATGATTCAATGTAATAATGCATGAAATCTAAAATGATGGATGTGACAAGGGTGATTATGCATGGCATGGGTGGAAAGGTGAGTAAGTGGTGAATCAATTAGTGCAAGGAGGTGAAAGGATATTGTGCACATGGTAGACAAAGGAAAGGAAGTGGAATGATGCAACACATGAGTTAATTGAGGGAACATGGATGATGATGCACAACATAGGAATTCAAAGGGAGTGCAATGGTGGTGCACGGCAATGATGGAAAGGTGAATGGTGGAGTGACACCTCTTTGTGGCTAAACTCTTTGTCATTTTTGCATTAATTCTTCTTTCTCTTTAACACATTCCTAGCTTCTTTAGTCTTCAATTTCGTCCATCCACCTTGCTCCATGCATGTGCTATTCATTCCAAGCCCAAAACTGCTCCAAAATGCACCAAAATGCATCTTATTGCTTTATAAGGCCTATGGACCTACAAACACACGAAAATAGCTTAAAATACATAATTAACTAAGAAATAACAACATAAATGCATGAGAACAAGCTAACTCAGTCGCATAAATATGCTTCTATCAGCGATCCAGGGGTACACATACCCACATCAACTGTCGGGGACCAGGTTGAAGTCGGAGCCGGAATTGGGTTTGTGGTCGGCAGCTGCGGAGCAAAGTCTGCTGGAGAAACAAAAGCGTCAGGTCCGACTTTTGCCATGATTTGAAGAATCAACCATCTGTTCGCCGTCGACTTTCAAGGTCGACATCATCTTGTAATCAAACCATTCTATCTCTTTCTTGTTGATGGGGTTAACCTCCATAACTTTGTACGGAATGTTATAGTAATCCGAGAAGGCTCTAACCTTATTGCAGAAAGGGTAAGCTTTGTACTGGTTGAGCATGACGTCTTTGGGGAGGGACTCCACGTGGGGGTGTACCTCCTAAGCCACAGACGTGGCGGTGTTAGCAGAGAAGTACATGTGCCCTCCTGCGCAGCGAGGCACATAGGAAGGTGTCGATAGGCCGAAGCGATCGCGGAGCCCCTGTGTGAACCACAACGTATTCGAATTCGAGCACGTGCTTAACATCGTTGCTTGGACCAGGCGGTGTTGAGTTGCGGAGGTGGTTGTGGTGGCGCCGCCCATAGGGACAGATGCTCTCGTGAGTAAAGCGATTCCGTTAACCCTTCTCATGGTGTACGAATCTCAGATCACTGCAGTCGCTCTCTCGTTCTTTGTGAAGTCGTAAGTCTCGAACTTTTGGGTTATGTAGATTCACGGTGGAGGTTGTGAGGGTTTCACGGTGATGAGATGGAAAAGTAGATAGAACCGACATAGCTTTTCGTGTCGATTCCCACAAACGACGCCAAATGTTAATGCACAAAATCGGAGGTCTTGGAACAACGTAAATCCGACCGTGAATCTGCAAGTAAAGTAAATAACACAAGATGTATCGTGGTTTACCCCAAGGTTTGGGCTACGTCCACACTGATTATGTATTTATCTGTGAGGGAGAGAGAGTTTGTGAGGTGAGAGTGAAGCCTATGAGGTGAGGAGGCTTTCTCTGAATATGAGAGACCTCAGGCCTAGGAATTGGCCTCTGAGGGTGAGAATGAGGAGAGTGACGAGTCTTTTTATAGAATAAGGGCTCCTCACTTATTACATATTTGCCCATTTCTTTATTACATAATTACATTTGAGTCCCCCGAGTATTTATACGAGGTCTAAATACAGAGGCCCTAAATATGGTACAAACACAACTAATCCTTATTTCTTGTCAAAAAAATGATCTATCTCGCTAAGTAAGCTATCTGTTGATATAAAATTGATTTAATGTGCTCAAAATATCAAAATAATGGGTAAGTTATGATTTTTTTCTACCACTCTTGACTAATAGATCAGATCAAGGTTTAAATCGAAGTTTGCAACAAATAAAGTTGCATTAAATATAGGGAGTTTTAACGAAAAGCCCGCGATACTGTTCACTTTAACGAAAAACCACATTTTTACACTAAAAAGTCAATCCTGGTACTATTCATTTTACCCTTTATTTTGTTCTTATCATTAAAACTCAAAGTTTTCAAGTCCTTTTAATTAGTTTTCCTTTAAATATACTGATTAAATTTGGGGAAAAAATAAAAAAGAATGGCAAACATGGTAATTTGGAGTCAAACCACAGTCAAGTCCATTTCGGTAAATTTACGTCAGCACCACCAACGAGTCTCTGTCTTCCAATTCTAGTTAAGATTTATTTTTTATTTTTTATTTTTTATTTTTTTACAAATTAAACCAAAATTTTGTCTGAAGCTCCAAACACAGATACACTCACTCTCTCCTCTCTCTCTCTCTCAACTGTGTATTTTTGAACAGGGAGAGTGTAGAGAGAGAAAGCAAACACAGAGCAAAGCACTTGGAGAAAAAAGGGAAAGGGGGGCAAAGAAAGAGTAAAAGCAAAAACCATATTGTCATTGCTGCTGATTAGGGTTTTCTCAAAAGCCCAAATATTAATTTGAAATAAGAACCCAATTGGAAAATTTGAAAAACGAAAAGCTAATCCCAGAGACCCAGAAGGAGGAGGACGCGTTTAAAATTGGAGAGAGAAAGGGGCAGTGAAATGCCGGCACCGGAGTGAGCGACTGAGAGGATCCGGTTACGGCAATCGGAGATCTCCCGGGAGATTGAGCTAGCTCAAGTAAGTTCTTGTACGGACGATCGGTTTCGCACTTGGGTTTACATTTTAGGGGCGATTGGTGTGGATTTTGCATTTACTGCATGCAATTTTGAGCTTCATTTAAATGTGGGTGAGTCGGTTTATCTGTATGGGTCGCGTCGGTTACGGTTACGGTTTCGCATTTGAATTTGTTTTTTGGGGATGAATTGGGCATTTTTGTATCTGGGGTTTGGTTTGTTTTGCATTTGAATTTGGAATTTGCAGAAATCGGATCTGGGAAATGTTTGAATTCTTATTTGAAGCATTGGGGTTTCCGTATTTGGTGCATTTTGCTTTTGGCTAGAGTTTCTGGATTGAGATCTGGTAGTGTCTTTGTGGTAGTATTTTGGTCTAAAAGTAGTAAGTTTTAGCTACTGGGGTTGTGCTTTTTTCTTTGGGCATATCCTTGTTTGGAATACCCCTTGTTGATTTCGATTGCGGATTAGTGATGTGGTATTCTTATATTTGATTCTATTAATGGAAGTTTCATTGTCAAGTCCTTAATAACTTCAACTTGCACAATTATGCTGACTTGCAAGAACTGATATAGCTAGTTTCTAAAACTTTTGTGTTTTTCATTTGGTTCAGATTATGCATTGTGAATTAATTAATCAGAACTGTGAGGATCTCAGGCATTTGGGGGCTTGAAAACTACATCTGTTATATGAAGGGTCATTTGAGATAAAGGAACTAGTGTGAAGGGGAAAATGAAATCTGATACTCATATTGATTATGCAGTATTCCAATTGTCACCAAAGCACTCACGGTGAGTGTCACGCTTATATAGACTCTTTGCGTATTCATGTTCTTTTAATATTTCCACTTAGATTATTGATCAGATATGTACTTTGTTTTGGCAGATGTGAATTGTTTGTTTATAGTGATGGGAACACTGAGAAACTTGCTTCTGGTTCAGTTAAGCCATTTGTTACTCATTTAAAAGTTGTAGAAGAGCAGGTTGCACTTGCAATTCAGTCGATCAAACTTGAGGTTGACAAACGTAAATATACTGAGACATGGTTCACAAAAGGAACGCTTGAAAGGTTATTTCGGGTTGCCAATGGGATATATCTTTTTAGTTATCTAAAGCGTGCTAGCCTTTTATGTTGTAATAATTTAGACTTCTTTAACTTGATTAACCAATATTGTTAACAGGTTTGTGCGGTTTGTTAGCACACCTGAGGTGCTGGAACTGGTCAATATATTTGATGCTGAGATGTCCCAGTTGGAGGCGGCATGGAGAATATATTCTCAGGTATGGCCATTTATCTGTTAAGTAACTTTAATGGTAATGAGACCGCATTTTTCTGTTTTAATTGAACTTGGGAACTTTTTCAAATCAGGGGATGGGAGGTCATCATGCTGGCGCATTAGGTATGTTCATCTCTACTAACTTCACTTTTGATTGTTGATTGTATTTCAACTTGACTTGGTTTAAATGCAACAAAACTTGATTTATGGCATCTTGTATAATTTGTAATTGATTTTATTTGCTTCAGTACTGGATAACTTTGACCTTTTGAACTTTCTTTGTTATAACTGTTTGTGTGTGTGTATATATATATCTATGTGAGTGGTTGAAATAGGAGAGAATTTAGGATTGATGGTGCAGAGGTGGCTCACCATTTGTTTGTCTTAGTTTCTTCATCTAGGAAAGTTCATTAAGTTTCTTGCACAAATATAGATGGTCAGGGATTGTGTATGTTTATTTGAAAAATGCTATGTAATTTCATACTTTATTGGGAGTTCATGCCTTATATTTAAAGCAATAAATATATGAAACTTTTGAGACTACGTCGAAGATATATTAGTGATTTCCATCTCGTTTGTGGTTATTTTCAATGGCAATACTGATTTTGGTCAGATATATTGTTTGCTATAACTAGGTCAGATTGAACAAGTACTATGATTAGTAAATGTGTAAGGGGAGAGCGACAAGCACTTAAATATCACACCCTTCATAATTTTCAAGATCAGGCTGCATATCCTTATAGACTTTCTTCCACAATCTCTACAAGTCATATAGGAAAAGGAATTGAAATGCACACATATACATAAAAAGAAAATACTAATGATTTTTTTTTTTCCACCATATAATTGCACATTGGAATTTTCTGGTCCTCATTCGAAGAAATGCAGTTGACACTGCTTCATGCTTCAATGCAACTTTACTGAACAGAAACCAACCAAAAAAACCCTTTATGTTTGTTCTCTCACCTTTTCAGTCTTTGATGTCTCTGTGCTGTCTGCCTCGTTACTTTGTAGCTTGAATGTAGTTGCAGTAACTTGCTTTTTTTTATTAGTGGATTAATCGATATTTTTAGTAATATTATTCTCGCCAGAACTCTTTGGTTTGGTGTCATTATACAGCATACTTGGTTGCTAAGAAATTAGTGTCCTTAGGTTTTTATGCAATTACAATATTCTTTTTTTTTTGGGTGGGATATGGACTTAGTGCTAATCCCAAACCTTAGGGCTGTCACGCATGATGAAATCTTCAACTTACATTGGAAAAGGTGAAAAACCAAACATGGTGGCCCTTGAATTTGTGATTAACAAACTAGGTACCAGGTCCAAAGTCATCAGAACCAAGACAAGCAAATCATCCTTGCCATTCTGGGTTTGTTATTGATTTGTTTCCTAGTCAGGATTACTAGTTTATTATAAATGGGGCTTTTGGGAACTTTTTAAATCAGATTCTTCTGTATGAGTTAAATAATAAAACTCATATGGGTATCTCTTCCTTGTATTTGTTATGAATTCCGAGGGCCCCATGGTGGATTCCAGAGTTTTCTCCCTTTTGGGCTTGAAGATTGCCACCGCCCTATCCTTTTCTTGCATTCATTCTGTGCCACTCATGGTCTGGCCCGAGTTCCAAACTCAAATAGGGGAGTGTTATGAGTAATAGGGGTTTGATGTCCCTTTCTCTTCAGGAAGTTTCAGTGTCCAGTTCATGCAAGTTAGCATCTGATCCTTGAAAACTGGGGTATGCATTATGCAGTGAGGAAGTATCATATTTGTTGTGTTGAATACATTTTCCAACTTGAAGTTGGGAAGTGCAGAGGCAGATCTGCTGATGGCAATGGTTAGGTATTTGCTCTTATCGTAAATGGTTAGGTGTTTGTTCTCATTAAAAAACGGTTGGGTGTCTGCTAGTGCACCAGGAATTTTAGGATTTGAGTGGTGTTAACTTGGCCCAGCAGGATCTTTCCTAGCTAGCCTGGCATGGCAAGAAGTGAGATGAGATTATGCCTGGTTTATGGATAGCATGGATACCGTGGGTGATCAGTGAAATGAAAAGTGCATGCTTTAAGGTTGTTTCTGAACAATATACTTGAGGTGTAACTAAAATGTGTATAGAGGAAGACATTTCTTTCAAAAGCCTGTGTAATGAACTGCAACAACTGTAACGTACCTCTACCATGTGACTTAGGTGACTAAGCAATTAGGCACGTCATAATATAATATTCTGAAACAGTGTAAAGAACTCAGTCTATTATCATAATTGTTCTTGTATACTTTTCGTAATAGTCATGTACATCTAATCTGACTTGGCATCTTAAATTCATCAACTTGGTAGTGAAGAAAGTGCTGAAAAGATTTGTTTCATTTCCTCGGAATGTTATTATCTTTTTTCCTGTGACATTGTACATCTGAAACCTTTATTTTTATTAGTGTTATTTCATTCACATCTGGATATTGATCAAAGCATGAATTTTATCACAATGCTGAATTACTTGCTCAGGTGGGGATGGAACAGGTACCACAGCAGCAGCAGATGCAACAAAGTAATGCTCTGTTAAATTTTAAATTCGTTAATAATTTACTTAATGTTGCCTTAGATTGCAGTTAATTTTTTATTCATTAAATTTGATCAGAGTTTAAGTTCTGGAAGAATTATAATGAAGTTGCAGCACTAGGAGAAAATTTAGGAAGTGCTTTTAAATAACTGAAAGCTCTTTGAGTGAAAATGTTTTTGCAACCTATCCTTAATAAAAATGCAAGTTAATCCTGGAAAAGCACGTCAAAGTGCTTTTGAAACCCAAAAATATTTTCTCTAAAAGCGCTTTCAGTCATCAAAAAGCACTTCTTAAATGAGCCCTTGAACTCTTTAGGTTGTCCTCATTTTGAACTTTTCTTTGTGTTGGAACCTTGAAGTCAGCAGTGGGAGAAAACTAATGAAAGGAGCTTGAAACTTTGAGTTTTAATGATAAGGACAAAATAAAGGGTAAAGTGAATAGTACCAGGATTGACTTTTTAGTGTAAAAATGTGGTTTTTCATTAAAGTGAACAGTACCGGGAGCTTTTCATTAAAGTTCCCTTTGTTGTTTTAGTTTATTAAAGTGTTGATCTGTTGGTGGTGATAATAATTGGGTCATTACCATGAGATGTGGTTATGGAACCTCTTTTATATGAAGTTATTATGGTTTAAGATGTTTAGGAATGTATATTTTATGCGAAATATTGAATTGCTGTTTGACAAAAATTAGAATGGAAAAGAAATATATAGTCATAATATCTGTATCAAAGTCTAAATTACTAAGTGAAGTTAGCAGTTAAAGATAAAGATAGGAGTTGACTGCACATGTTAATTTGAACAGTTCGCCATAGCTCTGCTATCATCATTACCGATGGCAGTAAATAATCTAAGATGCATATTCTACTTTAGAGCATCCCACCCCCTTCTCCCTTGCAAAATTGATGTCTCATTTTTATTCTCTCAATACAATTCGTACAGGAAGGAGCTTTTGAGGGCTATTGATGTACGACTTGTTGCAGTTAGGCAGGATTTAACCACAGCTTGTGCTCGTGCATCTGCGGCTGGTTTCAACCCTGATACAGTCTCTGAACTACAACACTTTGCCGATCAGTTTGGTGCCCATCGCTTAAAGTAAGATTCTTGAAATCCTCTCTGTTCGCTGCTTCATCAAGTTTAATTTATATTATCTCAAACTGACCCTCTCCAAAAGAAAAAAGGGTCTTATTTAATACCCCGTGCCCCTGCCGTATCTCTTTCTCCGTGTGCGTGTGCATGCTCTCACTAGCATATGCTCTTACCTCCATGCCTGCATCTTGGTACTAGTGATGAGTTTATCTGGTTTTTAGTTGTGACAAACACAAATCCAATATAAATCTGGAGGAAACTGTCTTGAAACTTAACTTGGGTCAATTCTCTCAAGAATCAACTGCATAAGGAATGAGAAATGAGATATAACGGTTGACCAGGTTATTCCTTCATGGTATATAATCATTCTTCCTATTTGCCAATGTGTGGTCTTTTTAGGCTCTACTTTTTCCATTAGTACTATAGGACTAACTCTTGTCAATGTCGATAGGTTATTCCAGGTTCTGCAATCATAACCTGATGCATTATTCTGAAAGCGATATGCTATCACAACCCTTCGGGTATCTGATAAACTTGAAAATAGCAACTCTTAAATGGAAAAATAATTTAACAGGTTGGCTTGATTAAATCATGCCATCGGAACTTTTTAAATGATTAAAGATGGGAAGTTTTTCGTAGAAAATGTGACTCCATGTTGCTTGTCTGCATATAATATTTGGTTCTTTTGTTCCAAATCCTTCATATCTGTTATTAACTGACAAGGATGTTCTTAGAACAAATTGTTTTTTTTTCCTATGTTATTTTATACTCATTTTTTAATTCTTTAGTACCAACTTGATTTGAATTTAGTAATCTTTCTATAAGACTTGGTTTCTTCTGTGTTTGGTGATCATGTGAAGTACATTGAATGGGCCCATTATATATGAAGTACATTAAGTGGGCCACGTTGGGCCCACTGTAAAATGCTTAAGGGAAAAAAGGTTGGTAGAACTTAGAAAAATAGTAAAGCAGTCCGTCACAATATGGCAGTTGCAATGGTCTTTTCTGTTTTTCTCAAATCTCAACTGCCATGTACTTCTTACCTAATAAAAATATTATGAATTTTAATTCTGTAATTTTTTATCTGTATATATAAATACATTATTCTTATATAACTACTTATTTATTTTATGAAAACTGTGCAGCGAAGCTTGCAGCAAATTCATCTCGCTATGCCAAAGAAGATCCGACGTGATCTCCCAATGGAAGCCAAGTGCGGACGACAGAGCTGTTAGATCCTCATGTGAGTCTGACATGTCCATTGATGGCCTCACTGAAAACTCGTCTGGGCCCCACAACCAACCCCAAAATAGGCAGGAGCAACTAGAAGACCCTTTAAAGCCCTCCACGTGTCAACAACCCGAGTTCCTCAACGCCAACTTCCCTACACAACAACGGAACAGCGTAACTGAGAAAGACAAAGAGGAAGGCAAGGCCAAGGTGGAGAAGAAGGTTGAATCCCAGACCGAGTCGACGACTCCTTTGGGTGTGAGTCAACCCGGGAGGCGGCTCAGCGTCCAGGACCGTATCAGCCTCTTTGAGAATAAACAGAAGGAGAGTTCTGGAGGTGGCAGTGGTGGAAAGTCGGTTGTTGCCAAACCTGGGGAGCTCAGAAGGCTCTCCTCTGACGTGTTGTCTGCCAAACCTGGGGAGCTCAAAAGGCTCTCCTCTGATGTGTCGTCTGCACCTGCTGTTGCAGAGAAGGCCGTGCTACGAAGATGGAGTGGTGCCAGTGACATGAGCATTGATTTGAGCGGGGAGAAGAAAGAAACGGAGAGCCCCTTGTGCACACCATCGTCTTCCTCTGCTTCTCATTTATTTTCTCAGACAAAGGTGGCGGCGAATACAATATCTGCTGTGACTGTGGATAAGGACCAGAAGGGGTCAACTGACTCGACAGATATTTGTAAGGTTGAGGGAAGGAGTGCTTCTGGTAGAGTTGGTGATGTTGAGCTGAAAGATGAAGCTGAGGGGCAGACTCGAGTTGGGGTTTTTGTAGGAAAGGAGGAGGTGGGTTCAAAGGCAAAGAAGGAGCAGGTGGGTTCTCATACTCAATCCAGGACTTCTAGTGGAAGAACAGAGCAGGTTGGGTTAAGTGATCAAGGGATTTATTCGGATAGCGAAGAAAGCAGTGGTTTTAAGGATCAATCAGGTTCTGAGACACAGTCCAAGGGTTTTTCAGGTCGGACAGAGGTTGTTGGAGGGAAGAACCTGGTTGGGGGTGCAATATCTGGTGGTGGGTTTGGAAGTAGGGTAGAGGATTCTAGACCGAGAGATCAGCCAATGACTCAGTTACTTCCTAGGGGTTACCAGGGTCATTCCCGATCTTTCTCAGGGCAGTTTGAGGGTGTTGTTGGACGAAAACTTGAAGAAGCTTCTTCAGCACAGCTCAAAGGGTTTGAGGGTGATCAACTCCCTCCCCAGCCTCTTTTTAGATCTTTTTCTGGAGAAATTGGGGAGGTGGGTAAAGTTGACTGCACATCATCTGATAAGAAACACATTAGAACGGAAGATTCTGGAGCTCAGAAAATGAGATTCCAGAAACCGGGTTCTGCCAGTCGCGAACAAATTAAGAAGCCACAGGGAAGGAGAGATGAAAGCAATAGTGGTCAAGAAAGCAAGTTGGATTTTACAGGTGACAAAGTTTTAAGGAATGAAGAGAGCTTTTCTACAATACCGACAACACCAGTCGAGCAAGTTCAGAGAGTTAGACAGACCAAGGGAAATCAAGAGCTCAATGATGAGCTCAAAATGAAGGCGAATGAGCTTGAAAAGCTTTTTGCAGAGCACAAGCTTCGGATTCCTGGGGATCTGTCTAGTTCTGCTCGAAGAAGCAAGCCCGTGGATGCAAAGAAGAAGGAACAGGCAGTAAGTTCACAAAACAGAAAACCAGCAGCGGAGGAGATTGCTCCTGCACAATTTCCTGCGGCTAACACAGTGTTGGAACCAATGGGTAGCTCTAGTGAGATGGAAAATTTCAATACTACTCCACCAATGAAGATAGCCGGTATCCAAGATTACGGTGATAATCTGAGGCAAAAATTTTCAGAGCCTGGTTTCTCTCTTGATTCTAAAGGAAAATTCTATGAGAGGTACATGCAAAAAAGAGATGCTAAACTGAGAGAAGAATGGGTTTCTAAAAGAGAAGAGAAGGAAGCCAAGTTGAAGGCCATGGAAGATAGCCTTGAGAAAAGTAAGGCAGAATTAAAAGCCAAGTTTTCAGGGTCAGCAGACAGACAGGATTCAGCATCTAGTGCTCGTAGGCGTGCAGACAAGCTGAGATCATTCAATTTTGGATCTAGTATGAAGAGGGAGCAGGTACTGATTCAATTTAAGTTATCATGAATTAAGGTGTAAAATTGATGACTGGAAAGTTTGATTTTTCCCATTTTCCTTGTTTTTTTTTCTGACCAAATCTTTAAAGATATTTGTGTTGCTGGTTGGTATTTGTATCTTAGGATAATAGTTTTCTGTTTTGACAACAGCCAATAGATTCCATTCATTGGGAGAAGGATGAGGATCTCTCTGAATTTCCAGGCCAAAAATTGTACGGAGAAGATAGGTTCTCTAACGAGGCATCTTTAGGAGACGGTGCTTCTAGAAGCATTCAAAATAAAAAGCTTTTTCCCAATAGAAATTTGCCTTCGTCCATCCCCTGGACACCAACTGCACCAGCTCCACGGTCATCAGGCAAAGTTTCCAACCTTAGTTCAGGTCGGCGAAGACCAGAGTTAGAAAATCCTCTAGCACAGTCAGTTCCCAACTTTCCTGATCTCAGGAAAGAAAACACAAAGCCCTCTTCTGGAGTTAGCAAACCAGCTGTTAGCAAAATACCTGCTCGTTCACAGGTCAAAAGCTTTTCCCGCAGCAAGAGCACGAGTGAAGAGATAATGGCCAAGGAAGAGAAGCCACAACGTTCTCAGTCCTTGAGGAAAAGCTCTGCAAATCCTGTAGAACTGAACAACTTATCTTCTCTACACTCTGATGGGGTTGTCTTGGTACCATTTGATGAAGAGCAAACCAAGCACGACTCCTATGATAAATTTGCTAAATATATGGAGTCGAAGTCATTTTTTAGGAAGAGTAATGGCATAGGCACTGGTTCTGGAGTTAGTTTTTCCAAGCTGAAAGGATCCATTTCTTCTGATTCTTTAACAAATGAAGAAGTTGAGGGAGAAGATTCAATTGACACAGCCAAGGAAGAAGAAGAAGAGGAAGAGCTTGAAAATGGTGTTGATATGGATATGGTAGTTGAAGATGGTGATGATATGGATGTGGATAATGGGAAACGAAGACCGAGCCAGGATTCTGAAAGGTCTGATAACGTCGATTCCGTAAGATCTCTTTCTCAAGTGGACCTTGCTTCAATGGCTGAATTGCCTGCGGCTGCACCCTCAACATTTCATACTTTGGGGTCTCTACCAGACTCACCTGGGGAAAGCCCCATTTCATGGAACTTGCACGTGCATCATTCCTTTTCCTACCCTCACGAGGCCTCAGATGTTGATGCCTCAGTAGACTTCCCAATTGGGAGCCCTGCTTCTTGGAATTCTCATGGTCTTACCCAAATAGATGTTGATGCAGCTCGGATGAGAAAGAAATGGGGAAGTGCTCAGAAACCTATCCTTGCTACCAATTCATCTCAAAATCAGTCACGTAAGGATGTGACAAAAGGATTTAAACGGTTATTAAAGTTTGGAAGAAAAAGTCGGGACAGATAATATGAGTGACTGGATCTCTGCTACGACTTCTGAAGGGGATGATGATACAGAAGATGGGCGAGATCCTGCAAACCGATTATCAGAAGATTTTAGGAAGTCAAGAATGGGATTCACGCAGGGTCCTGATGACAGCTTCAATGAAAGCGAGTTCAATGAACAGGGTAACTAACGGATATCCTAATTTCCAATTATTTTAATATATAGAACTTGTTGTATGCTGGAGTATATGATGTTGAGAATGAATCCCATATTGATGAGACGAGAGACCTTGCATGGATTTATAAGTAAGTTGGGCTACTCCGCATATTGCCAATTGGTTTTATGGTGGAACCTCAACTTTCTTCATGGTATCAGAGCAGGTTGTCCCATGTGTAAAACCAAACGGCCACACGCACTTCATGTCACCCCACTTGAGTTGTCGACGTGTTAGGCTTGAAAATTCGCCACACGTGAGGGGGCATGTTGAGAATGAATCCCACATTGATGAGACGAGGGACCTTGCATGGGCTTATAAGTAAGTTGGGCTACTCCTCATAATGCCAATTAGTTTTATGGTGGAACCTTAACTTTCTTCGTATGAGTGACCGAGTCCCAACCATTTTCTTCTTAGGGTGAGAAAACCGAAGTGGCTGAAAGCTGCCATGGGTTACTAATGATCCTTGAACAGCACTAGGAACCCTTAAGCAACCCAACATCTGCACTTTCCATTCCCAGCTAAACTTTCCACGTGGCCATTTCTTGTTTTCTTATCCAGCTGGTATTTTGAGTGTTATTCCAGATCAGCAAACACGCACACATATAATGTGTTCCGTGTGTATCCGTAGTTATTGGAAGGACCTTCTTTGGATTGTACTTGTTAAGCAGAAAGGCCACTGAAATTTTCAATAACCATTGATCTTTCAGTTTAAAAATGTTTGGATTGAAAAGTTACCGTAGAATCATATGAAACAGCAAGTAGTTTGCAAATCTTAGGCCATCGATTTAAACAATTTGTCCTATTTGATTTGTTTTTAAAAAAACTTGGTGAATTGTTTTCTTTTAAAATAAGTTTTCTTATTTCATTTCTCCTTTTAGAAAAGAATGAAGAGCTGATTATTCAAATTTACATTCTATGCAGTACAAGCGTTACGGACCTCTATCCCGGCACCTCCAGTGAACTTTAAGCTGAGGGACAATCATTTATCGGGAAGCTCGTTGAAAGGTGATGCTCTATGTACTTGTTTAGTCATTTATTTTACTTTTCTTGGTAGTAATGCAATGATTAGTTTACTCTGTTCGAGGTTCATCCTCGTATATCTCCGGTAGTACACTGTACTTTGTTGTCTCAACTGAGGAAACAAATTTCTCGTGTAGTAGCCCTGTTTTGGCAGATGAACGTGAAGCTATTAAGAACTCAGAAATTGGTTGGCTTTATCATTGACAGCTTTAGTTCACTAGTCGGAATGCGTTTTCAGATTTTGGCATAGTCATTTAGGATTGCGTCAAGGAAAACGCTTATGTTTATTTATGGCATTGGCATTGAATCTTTCTGATAATGGTATACTCACGGTTCTATGTTACAGCTCCGCGGTCATTCTTCTCACTCTCATCATTCCGAAGCAAGGGAAGCGACTCAAAGCTGAGGTAATTACCACTTAGAGAAAACCACATAGCAAGTGCTTGGATCATTTCAAGGTAGATTAAAGGGATGACCGCATTATATGATACGAACGATTCGGTAGGTGCGACTGAGTCATCAATAATATAAACTCTACGGTGGGATTATGTATATGTTGGATTCACTTCACGAAGGCGTGGTCATTTAGTTAGCTATATACGTAGTTGTATTGGAAATATATGGTTGTATATTCTATTGAACGATGAGTCAATCGATGGTTGGCGTAATGTAATCGTGTTTTTGGTAGTCGACAGGCGTTCTTTTTTTTGTTCATGTGGTTAGCCTTTGTGTGATGATGTATATCTCAACTTTTGTTAGAATCAACGTTACATGTTGACAGTTTTAAGAAGAGTGTTGTAAAGACCCACCATTTTTGTGGTGTTGTCACTTCTCCTGTCAAATTTTGGCCTATGTAGGGCCCATCATTTACTTCTCCTACGCGTCCTCGTAATTTTTCGCCATCATATTGAATAGATCAAACGGAAGTAACAAAAGAGATTAGACAAGAGTGTGTACTGTATAGGGCGAGAAAAAGAGAGTGGTTATCGTTTATCTACTTTTTTAAAGTTTATTTTTCTTTCATAACAAAATGTGAAGTGTCTAATTGCCATTTCGTATCATAGTTTAGCGGTATTCTTATTGTTATGCACTTGTAAGTGAGAGATCTTAGGTTCGATTTTCGTTAAATGTGAATTTGAATTACATTATTGCTAATTTATTGTAAAGCTAAGTTCATCCTCCTCCTCTAATGTAAATACCTCTAATGTAAATAATATCGTTTGTTAAAAAAAAATTGAAGTGTCTAATTTAAAGAGAAATACATAATGACTTGTTTATTATGAAAGAAACTTTGGACTGTTCAAGTATGGAATAAACTCAATTTTGAAAGCTAGATACTTTTGACCGGTAATTATTAATATAAATTTATTATAAAAAAAAATTAAATAGTGAATGACACATGCAGATAATAGTTAGACCAATTATTTAGAGTCCTGTCTCAGAACCCTTTCTGCCAACTAATCACGAACAAGAAAATTCCATGTCAAATCATTGTGAAAATCATAGAAGTTCTAAGATTTCGAATTATGTAACAAAAGCTTCAATAGCTCTAGAGGTTAAAGAACAATTTGTTGAAATATTCCACATTTGCCAAAAATAGAGAGAGAGAACAAAAGGAGTTTAATATCATAATCTCACTTCAACTAATATAACAGCCTTTTTGTGATAAAATTTACACATGTTGGACTTTGTAAGTGATAATTATTAAATTGGAAACAATATCGGTGTTGTTGGAAATGGACATTTGACCGTCTCTCTTGTAATTTGACACATTTGCCCTATGTCTAAAACTCTGAATTAGTAAATTTGAGTCCATTATTTAATGTAAAAGATATTAAAGGATAATGTATTGAGGCCTAATGAATTTGGTGAGTCCAAAATGTTGGTCTGTTCAAATGTTTCTTGGTGAAAACTCCAAAAAGAGATTTTGATCAGGTAGTGGTGAGCTTTAATCAGAAAAAGGATAATTTCTAATGGAAATAAAAAAAGAAAATGCTTTGTAAATCATGAGCCAATGACAGTTGGAGAAACCTACACAGAATCTTGTATAAGTCGCTAATACGCTACGGCGACGATAAACTTATTTTATAAAATTCTGTCTCTATACTACGTAAAATTTCTTAAGCAACAAATCTCCTACCTCCAAAATTGAACTTTTAAAGTGTTTTTTTTTTTTTTTTTTATTGTCAAACGAGTTGTGATGAACTCATTTGTAAATAAAGTTTTTGTAAGTCAATAAATAAACACACATTTATTTATTTAATTGATCTTCCTCGACATATCAGCCGGCCTTTAATTTTATTTTCGGCCTGCATGTTGTTTGCATGTCTATACGAGGGTTGATGAAACAGCAGGTGCCGTGTCTTCTATTAGCTAGCCAGACAGTAGATACTACCTAAGTGCGACAGCATGCTTGGTCGATTATAATACCACAACTTTGTTGTTCCATATGAAACAGACAAATTATTCAACTCCCTAAATTATTACTTTATTAAATAAATAAAACTGCTAAATTTGATATAGCAACATTTGTGTGTTTTCGTATAATGTAATTAGCTAACCTGATAGTGCATAATAGATTTTTTTTTACGCTACAGACGCGTTCTAGTAATCTAATACCAAGGAAGAATGTATCGAATATGTGGTCTTGAGTGCATAATGAATACGATAAATGCTAGAAACTCGTTCTAAAAGCTGTATAATTTTAAAAATTGTAAACAATCGTTAAAGTCATAGAAATATTTTAGAAAAATTAGACATTAATCCATGGAAGATTAAAACAATAGCATTATTAAGTGCAGTGAAACATAGACGGATTCAACGAAGTATGGAACCAACAACCAAACATATTTGGACAACAACAAATCATCGCAGCATAAAAGACAATCTACACTTTTATTTACAAGTGCAACTGATCCAACTGAGAAGGGAGATAGCTCCTCTCCACTCCTCTCCAACTTCACCAATTGGCAACTTTCCCCACAAAGCTGGTAACTCTTTTTCTTTCCACTTTCCCACACTTTCTCACACAATCTTCTCACCAGCCAAACATTCCGTAAACTCCACTAAATCATGGCCGGTATAGACTCCTCCTTCGATTTCGAACAATCCTCCTCCAGTCACCGCCCGCCACGCCACCCCACGCCCTTTAGCTCCAGCTCCTTCACCCCGGTCAGCTCCAACTCCCAGTTTAACCAAAGCCGAACCCCTGGCAGCCGGAGGTCCCGCCACACCACGCCCCCCACGACTCCATTTGCCGCAGACAACGACAAGTCGTGGCAAGGCGAGATTTCGTGGCAGTTTGAGCCAACCGGGTGGAGCGACACGCGAAATTTGGGCTCAGTTTTGAGCCCATGGGCCACGGCAAGCACAACCTCCGAGGCCCACATAGTTCGCCGCTCCGCCAATTACTACTACCTCTCAAGAACTAGCAGACGCGCTGCCAGGAATAACCCAAATTACAATTCTGTCCCTGATGGCAGGCTTGAGCTTCAAAGCTATGTTGCTCCTCCTAGGGTTAATAATGGGAATGGCAACATTAATTTGAATAATAATAGTGAGAGATCTTTAATTTTTGCAAATAGTAGCTATGGTACACAACATAAAAAGCCCCCAAGATTGGAAAAAATAAAGGAGTTGGGAAGTGGGAATTATAGCGGAAGTGGTCCATTAGCTAGAAAAGATGTGCTCGGTCTGATCGACTATGATCATCCACCAAACCGGGCAGAAGATGACGCATCCGAAGTTTTGGGTCATGGGATGTCACATAATTTGGGTCATGACCTTGGTGGTCATTTTTACGATCATGGCCATCACAGTCACCATGGTACGTCAAAAATTATAGGACACGATGACTATGGTCGCGGGTCGTCACATGTGGGACATACTCATCATCTTCACGGTTATGATGATCATGCATGGCGATCAACAGTCTCTGGCCAACATAACGGCGGCGTTGATGGGTATGCCGATAGCGATCAAGGTTCGGGTTACGATGAAGAGGATGATGAAGAAGAAGATGCCGTGCCACCAAAGCAAGTAGGTTTGCTCAGCTTGTTCAAGTATTCAACAAAGTGGGATATGGTTCTTGTGTTTCTGGGATGCATTGGTGCTCTTATTAATGGAGGGTCTCTTCCATGGTACTCGTTTCTTTTCGGAACGTTTGTGAACAAGATTGCTATTGAATCAAAGTACGCTGACAAGACTCAGATGATGGATGATATCGAAACGGTATGTCAAAACTATTCATACATGTTTTAATTTCTAAATTTTTTTCTTATTAGCTTAGCCTTTTGAACAGAAAAGTTGGTATTTTTAAACGTTTTTTTAATATTACTGCATGTATACTGTACTAAAAAAAATATTACTGCATGTAATTTTTTTTTTTTTTGCCTGATACGAGCGATATTGGTATTCGAACACAGAGCTGCAAAAATATTTGGTTAGATTAACAATGGAAGTTCATTTTTCATTTCAATTTAATTTCAGATAGCCCTGGATATGGTTGGATTAGCAGCAATAGTTGTAGTTGGAGCATACATGGGTAAGATGCACATACATCATGATTTTCCTCTTTGTGTCCTTTTGAATAATATATTTTCTTCTCTTTGTGGTACAAATGTTTGATACCAAAAGTATTTTTTTGATCACTAAATGCAGAGATTACCTGTTGGAGAATGGTAGGGGAGAGATCTGCTCAAAGAATAAGAAGAGAATATCTAAGAGCAGTTCTACGGCAGGACATTAGCTTTTTCGACACAGAGATCGCCGCCGGCGACATTATGCATGGAATTTCTAGTGATGTTGCTCAAATCCAAGAAGTTATGGGGGAGAAGGTTTGCTTGCTATTTGCTTTTTATAAATTTTCTTTGAACTAATTTTTTTTATTACGCGACGATTAGGAGCTGATAAATTTTGGGAATTTTGAACTTTGTGAATAATTTCAGATGGCACATTTCATTCACCACATATGTACTTTCATATGTGGATACACCGTTGGATTTCTGAAGTCATGGAAGATCTCTCTGGTAGTCCTCTCAGTCATACCACTGATGATGTTCTGTGGTATCGCTTACAAAGCGGTTTATGTTGGCCTCGCTACGAAAGAAGAGGTATCGCTTAGAGCGCGGTTTATGTTGGCCTCGATCTTAAATTTTCTCAGCACTTGTACATTTTCCTAAATCTTTTATGGTGCATTTGTCACAGGTTTCTTACCGTAAAGCTGGTAATGTAGCCGAGCAAGCGATCAGTTCAATCAGAACTGTGTTTTCCTTTGTTGCAGAGGATCTTCTGGCTGAAAGATACGCAGATTTATTGAACAAATTGGTGCCTTTTGGAGCAAGGATCGGCTTCGCTAAGGGTGCTGGAGTGGGAGTTATCTATCTGGTTTCGTATTCAACATGGGCGTTGGCTTTCTGGTATGGTAGTATTTTGGTTTCTAAGGGAGAGATCTCTGGAGGCGCCGCCATTGCTTGTTTCTTCGGCGTCAATGTTGGGGGAAGGTATAAAGAATTTCTAAAATTGTGGGGGAGAGATTCTTTGTGCAGGACGTCCTTTCTTTAAGAAAGACAGGAAAGAAATGACGTCCTGCACAGAGCCGGAACTGTAAAACTTCAATTTTCTTGACACATTTTGCATGTGGCTGAATTTTCACAGGGGCTTGGCGTTGTCCCTATCATACTTCGCTCAGTTTTCACAAGGCACAGTAGCAGCGGGCCGGGTATTTGAAATTATAGACAGAGTTCCGGAGATAGACCCCTACAGCTCAGTAGGCAGGACCCTGCCGAGTACTCGAGGAAGGATTGAATTTAAAGGCGTTTCTTTCTCATACCCATCTCGTATGGATGCTCCGATTCTTCATTCCCTGAGTCTGGTTATCCCATCTTCGAAGAGTGTAGCACTTGTTGGCGCTAGCGGAGGTGGAAAGTCCACCATTTTCGCTCTTATAGAGAGGTTCTATGACCCTAACCAAGGTATCATAATCTTACGGTTTAACAATATTCAAAAAAACAACTTATGATAAAATGGACTAACTCTAGTTCCTTCTCTGATTTGGTTTTTGAATGTTTGTTTCGATAGGTACAATCACATTGGATGGTCATGATTTAAGGATGCTTCAGGTGAAATGGCTAAGAGATCAGATAGGTATGGTCGGCCAGGAGCCCGTACTCTTTGCCACAAGTATATTAGAAAATGTGTTAATGGGGAAGGAGAATGCCACCAAGAAGGAAGCGATTTCCGCCTGCATTGCTGCCAATGCCAACAGCTTCATTTCTGGCCTTCCACAAGGCTATGACACTCAGGTTCAACAGCAAAAATATTCTTAAAGTTCTCTTGCTATAGTGTTAGAATATGCACGGAAATGTTTTCAACAGTAAATCTGGACCACGCAATTAAACAAGAATTCACTTAATCCATGATCTAGATTGACAGTTCGAAGCACATATCCTCGCTTGTCTGGCAAGAGAACATTTACACAACGCTTACGTGCACATACACATATGTAAATACATAGATGCCTAGGTACTCATGGTGCAATGCTTATTTCATTGTCACATTTGGCAGGTTGGAGACAGAGGAACACTGCTGTCAGGAGGTCAGAAGCAAAGAATCGCATTGGCTCGAGCGATGATCAAAGACCCTAGAATCCTTCTCTTGGATGAACCTACCAGCGCCTTAGACCCTGAATCCGAGGCTGCAGTCCAAAAGGCTATTGACAAGATCTCCTCAGGCCGAACATCGATTGTAATTGCTCACAGGCTATCGACAGTAAGAAATTCTCACACCATCGTTGTTCTTGACTCTGGCTCTGTGGTTGAGATTGGTAATCATCGCCAGCTCATGGAAAAAGCAGGTGCCTACTATAGCCTTGTTGAGCTTGCCGCTGATGGTGTAACAAAACCTTTGTTGAAACAAAATGATAATCAGAAAGTTACTCAGTTTTCAGTGTCTGATATGCATGATTTGTCAAGATCGCCATTCGCTCAAGAGAAAAGCCAAGTAGAGGAGAAAGATGTCCAAAAACAAAAACCAAAAAAGGTTAAACTTTTGGATATATGGTTGTTACAAAGACCAGAGGTTCCAATGCTCTTAGTAGGGTTCTTCTTGGGTATGAATGGAGGTGCAATTTTGTCTATCTTTCCTTTTATTCTCGGCCTAGCCCTTGAAATATATTTCGATAATGACCCATCAAAAATTAACAAAAAAATTGACCCTCTTTGTTTAGCACTTGTTGGGCTTGGCCTTGGGAACATACTCTTAATGACAGGACAACAAGGGTTGTGTGGCTGGGCTGGAACAAAACTCACATTGAGAGTGCGAAACCTCCTGTTTCGTTCCATACTAAAACAAGAGCCTGGTTGGTTTGACTCCGAAGAAAATTCGAAATCAGTTCTGGTCTCGAGGCTCTCAGTTGATTCTGTCAGTTTTCGTTCAGTCCATATTGATCGATTATCAGTCTTGTTGATGGGTTTGAGTTCAGCCATCGTGGGACTTGGTTTGTCCCTTTGGATTAATAGGTGGCTAACTCTTTTGGCAGCTGCTCTCACTCCTTTGACTCTCGGTGCAAGTTACTTGAGCTTGATCATAAATTTAGGGCCAAAACTCGACAATGATGCTTATGCGAAAGCGAGCAACATTGCTTCTGGTGCTGTTTCAAACATAAGGACAGTCACAACATTTTCTGCTCAGCAACAGTTGGTTAAGTCCTTCGAAAGAGCTTTATTGGGGCCAAAGAGAAAATCAGTTAAGAGGTCACAAATCATGGGCCTAACACTAGGGTTTTCTCAAGGTGTTATGTATGGAGCATACACCTTAACCCTTTGGTTTGGTGGTTACCTTGTGAAAGAAGGCAAAGCAAGCTTCGGCGATGTGTATCAAATTTTTCTTATCCTTGTTTTGAGTTCGTTTTCTGTTGGACAATTAGCCGGTCTTGCACCAGACACATCCATGGCTTCAATAGCAATTCCAGCAGTTTTCGATATCATTACTCGCAAGCCATTAATCAGCAGCAGCAGCAGCAGAGAAAAAGAAAGGAAGCTTGACCGGTCGAAACCATTGGACATTCAATTCAAAATGGTGACATTCGCCTACCCTTCTAGGCCAGATGTGACCGTGCTGAGTGACTTTTGCTTGAAGGTCAAAGGCGGTAGCACGGTGGCATTGGCGGGCGGAAGCGGGTCCGGGAAATCGACGGTGATATGGTTAATACAGAGGTTTTATGATCCAATTCAAGGGAAGGTGCTGATGGGAGGGGTGGATTTGAGGGAGATAAATCTGAAGTGGTTGAGAAGGCAAATAGCTCTAGTGGGTCAAGAGCCTACATTGTTTGCAGGCACTATGAGAGAGAATATTGCTTTTGGAAACCCTAATGCTTCATGGTCTGAAATTGAAGACGCTGCAAGGGAAGCTTATATCCACAACTTCATTAGTAGCCTCCCTCAAGGCTATGAAACTCAGGTATATATAGTTCAATTTATAGCACTATATGCTCTTTAGTTCGGATAATTGACAAGCGTCGATGATATCACGTGTCAATATCATTGTTTCCAACAAAACATACTAACATATTATCAAATACATTTTCGACAAAACAAATTAAAGAGCAAGCGTCATGCACACAGAATTTTCTGTCTTCTGCGATGCATATCTTTCACCATAATGGTTTTCTCTTTCCTTTGATCAATAGGTTGGTGAGAGTGGGACCCAGCTATCTGGGGGCCAGAAGCAAAGGATTGCCATAGCAAGGGCTATACTGAAGAAATCAAAGGTACTACTTCTAGACGAAGCAAGTAGTGCACTGGATTTGGAATCAGAGAGGCACATACAAGAGGCACTTAAGAAGATCAGCAAAAGGGCTACAACCATCATAGTGGCTCACCGACTTTCGACAATCCGAGAGGCCGATATGATAGCGGTGATGAGCAACGGTGCCATCACAGAATATGGGAGCCATGATGCACTTATGGCCTCTCACCTTAACGGTGTGTACGCTAGCTTGGTGCGTGCAGAAACTGAAGCCAATGCGTTTTGATTACAGTATGTAACTTGTAAGCTACCCTTGGAACTTTTGTGATGGAGAAGATTGATTAGCATGCTTGTAGTTATAGAGAAGTAGCCAATCCATATTAATATTTATTTGGTCCACACTCTCATTACTTTTTGTGATGTTATACGGTTTGTAATTGATGTACCAACGTACATTCAATGACCCAAATGGTAGGGTTTAAACTTTTTTGTTTGTTTTTGTTTTCAACAAATAATATTGTCTATACTAAGGAGAAGTGGACTTAAGCCTCAAAATGAGCTAGCAATAATGTGGTTCAAATTCGCCTTTGGCGATAATCGAACCTAAGAATTCTCACTTACAAGTGAAGTGGAATACTGCTAGACCGTAGTACTGAGTAACTTGTTACAGCTAGTTAGTAAACCTAAATAATAGGGACCCGGTAGGGTACATTGAAGTACTTAATATAATCACCTATTGACAATCAAATATGGTCGTCAAATGTCATGATTGTATTGTATTTGTACCCAAGTTCCTAAATGAGAAAGGTAATATTTTAATTTTGGCAGGAATGAAATCGCATTTTTGTGTCCACTTGTTTACTTTCTTGGAATGAGAAAATCCTAAAGCGGGGAAGGGAAAGACAAAAATGAGTATATAGATCAACCATCTCCCTTAGTTAATTTCATCTCTGATTTTCAGGCATTAAAATGCAGATTTTAATGTGAAACCGTTATTTATTAATTTATTTTAATGTGGTATTCTATTTTTTTTTAACAAACAATATTATTTACACTAAGAGGGTAGGCTTAGTCTCACAATAGGCTAGCAATAATTTGGTTCAAACTCGCTTTTGGTGAGAATCGAACTTAAGACCTCTCACTTAGAAGTGAAGAGAAATACTACTAGACCGTAGTACTAAGTGGTTGTACTCCACTAGTTAATATCCTTGATTAAGATGCCTAGTGTTTATATGATCACATGTAAAAATTATGGTGAAATACTTTATGAGGCTACTACTTTGTATATAAGCATAATTTGTGTTCCCAGAAATTGGAAAAGTCCTTCCGTCTCAATTAACTCTTCCCAAAAGGAGAAATGCAACCACAAAGAGACCCACGACCTAATCAACAAACCAAATATATAAAAAGGGTGATCAATCACATTTATCTTGATTAATGTTGGCCCTTTAATCATCGTTGATTAATAAACAAAAAAGGCCATAAAATTCTGTGCGTTTTTATTGTAACTTGACTTTGAAGCCAAGAGAAGCTGATGTTTACGTGCCTCGTATGCAAAGTAAAGCCTACAGAAGTGCTTTTGGACAAGCCAATATTCCTTCCATTATTCTCTGCCTCATCATCACCATATGCAGGATTTTTCCCTTGATTTCACTGCATCTCCTCTTAAGGTATTCAGAAATTTATGAACAACCGATCGTAGTTAGTTTTCGTTATCTTGGTTTTTGTGGTTCGGAATTTGTAACTGATGCTAGCTTAGTTTTCGATGAACTAACCGATGTTAGAAATTTGATTTTCTTGATTCGTGTTGTTTCCGAATGCGTGGTGTTCGTTAGTTTGGGTTTAGCAGAAGAAGAGAAGAAATTAAAGCAATGGCCTCCCTCACACCAGGAGTTTTGATCAAGTTTCTACAGAGCATAAACTCCAACGTGAAGGTTCGAGGAGAATACCGATCAGTCCTGCTTCAAGTGATCAGCATTGTGCCTGCCTTGAGTGGCTCGGAACTCTGGCCTAACCAAGGATTCTTCATAAAAGTCTCCGATTCTTCTCATTCCACTTATGTCTCGCTATCGAGGGAAGACAATGAGATTATATTGAATAACAAGTTGCAGCTTGGCCAGTTTTTTTATGTCGATAGAATGGAGGCAGGAACACCGGTTCCTATTCTTGTTGGAGTCAGACCAGTTCCAGGAAGACACCCTTTCGTGGGGAACCCTAAGGATTTGATGCAAATGTTAGAGCCATCAGAGAATCCAGTCCAAGCTGATCATGAAGGAACAAATAATAGTTCCAAATCGAGGGAACCCTTTGATGAAAACCCGAGACAAAAGCTTGTTATTAAAGAGGAAAAGGTGGCTGTTGCATCTAGGTATATGAAAGGTGTTTCGACATCAAATTCAAAAGCTAGCGCAGCGGATTCCAATGGAGGTGGGAAGAACAATGATAATGAGACTGGTGCTAAGAAGGTTGGCATGGTGAAAGGCAAGCAGCAAGAGCTTAATGGTCAGGTACGATTTGCGCGCTAAACATAGTTTCCGTTTTAAGTATATAACTGTTTTTTGACAAATGTAACAAAGTTCTAGTGTAGGAAACACATTTCTGTTGAATCTTTTGACCAGTTATGTAGTATGGTCATTTATACTAGTGTAACAGGCACGCTCAATAGCTCCTCCCCGCAATCGACCTCGTGCGCTTGCATCAGAGGCAGATGTGGCTGTATCTAATACCAAGGAGACTGCTGTGCCTTCAAGAAGCGCTTCTGCAAAACGCACTTCGGGCAAACAGGAAACCATGAACACTAACTGCTTGTCAAACCGAAAAGATAAAAGTAATTCAGCAGAGGCAGTTTTGTGGCCTTCTCTTCCGGCTAATTTTATGAAGCTCGGAAAGGTATTCCAGGCAACAACACATATTCATTGACTCTCATTCATGTGATCCAGGCAGCAATATATTGAATAACAATGTGACACATTTCGTATATTTTGTCAAAATTTTACAAGGGAATGCTTAGAAGGAGAAATCTAGCTTCTTTGGTTGCAGCAGAAGCTCAAAAAGAAGCATCTACAGCTGCAACTCTTGTCAAATCCCTTAGGTAAGCTATAATCTTACACGTATGAATCACCTTAACAATTGTCTCACAGTGAACTCTTTTTCTTTTCTTTTTTTCCAAGTATGTTCGCCGATCTATGCTCATCTGCTTCGCCGGACAATCCCCACATCTCTCTGAACAAGTTTTTCATACTCCACCAGCTCATTGACCAACCAAATATTGCAGCTCCGTTAAAGGATAATTCAACTCCTTTAACTACAAAGCAGTTACCTCCAGATGTCGAAACGTTGAGCAAAAAGACAGGCCTAATTCATGGTAAAGGTACATTGAAGTCTTCGAAGGTCCCCGCTGAGTTAAGTGGAGCAGAGAAACTAGAATGGGCGAAAGGAGATGGTGCGAAAGAGATAGCAGAACTCAGAGAAGCTCTCTTAAACAAAACAAGATCTTGGTTCTTGAAATTCTTGGAGGAGGCATTGGATTCTGGATTTCGTCTGAAAACCCCCCAAGAGAAGAAAGGTAAGGACAGTGCTGGGCGCCGCAATGAGCCAGAGAATCAAATCGCTGTGACGCTATCACAGCTTAAGAAAGGAAATGAGTGGTTGGATAAACTGAAAAACAGTCAGAGCTCAGAGAACAATGGATTGGTGGAGACCGTTGACAGGTTGAAACAAAAAGTGTATTCCTGTTTACTTGTTCATGTTGAATCTGCTGCTTCAGCTCTAGAAAACAGATCCGATCGCAATTGATTCAGCGAAACACACGAATAATTTATTACATTTGAGATAGATTTTGTTGCCAACCAATGTGATTTGAGCCAAGCATTGTTACTGAACTTGTGGATGATGAAATAATTTATGGATGTTGCTTGTGTATAAATTAATTCCAATAAAATGATGATATTTTGTACATAAACTTTGAAGAAATACATACGAATTACAGAAATAAAAAAATACATCAAGGATGTCAATGTAAGTGTTGTTAAGGACGTTGCAGCACTGCAGAACTAGAATCTGTTCGGAAATGAATTCGCGATACAATCATCGGTTAAACAAGTTAAAATGTAAGCTCCGAAAAAACTGACCACCTTCATTGCTGCCAACTTTGTGCCTGAAAGGGAGAGAGTCCAAGATGGAAAGCTAGAGCACATGCGAAATTCTCAGACAATGCTGATATATCTAGCATGTGCCCTGCTTCTCCAGCATGGCTCATTCTCCCTATATCCACCCTCAACTTCCGGCTGAACGATCACCAACGTCCCTTGGCGGCCTCCCTATAGATATTTTTTTCTACGGTTAATTAATAAATATCTTATAAGAAGCATGGAAATAATGTTGATTATAAAGGATTTTATATGCTGAAAACCGTACTTGTGTGGATATACCTAATGCTGCTCAAAGCTGATGAGCCTATGGATCCCACCTACTAGGTTGGCAAGCACTTTTGGTGGTGGTAGGGTTGTTTGCTCTTCTGCTTTTGCTTATAAAATAAGCAATTTTTTATTTTTTGTTCTGTAAGTGAAGCAAGAGGTATGTTGAACCAAACAGAAGTTTGCTCGAACCGTTGGAAGTTCGGCAGCGAAAAGAGAAAAATAGGGTTACATCAAGAGAACAAAAAATATTTGAATTTAACGAGTTTTATTTGGAGGAAACTACTCTCCAACCAATAAGTTATAATATAGGTATGGACGGTTCTATCGACCCAATTTCTTTATAAGCTTCCGTACAATTTTTCGACAACAGATCGGGCAAAACATAACCTTGTCTGAAGATTTTGAGGAAATTTGAATCGCAGGCATCAGAACTAGATATAGGGCCCTGTTTGAAAGAACGAATGACCTAATTCCGAAATGGAAGTACTTGATTGTAACATAAACCACTTTCACTGATATAAACGATTCAATACAAAGAGTTAGTACATCATGAAGCTAGCATGCTTCGTTCGAACTAACTCTGACTAGAGAAGATTACAATGTACACCAGCACAAGATTTTCAATACTCTCTGAAAGTAAGATTCAGACGTCCAGGCCGGAGATTTGTTTTTTCCAGCAGGGTCTTCGGAGCAGTGTCTGGCTTTATAGACGATACACCATGAAATACATGCCTCGATTTTCCACCAAATATTAGAACATCTCCAGATTCCAGTATAACCTTATTTGCCCTGTCAACATCCCTTTGCTCACCGTACAAGAATTCTGCAGCATCTCCGATGGAAAAAGAGACAACTGGCAAACATTTGCGGAGACTTTGTTCACTTTCATCACGATCCTGCATGAAGGCATGGTCAAGAGATGTTATCAAGTAGTTCAGAACTTGTAAGGTTTTACTTATTTTAAGATTCACAAAATAATAAAGGATGAATTTCATTATATGGGAAATTTTGCTTCAGTATTCTAAACGATACAGAAATAACTAACGTGGACAACAGTTGCATTTGGGTTATAGATGATTTGGAAGATGATGCAGCTGCTGCGGATGAATGTCATGCAGTTCAGTGCATAAAATAAAAGTGACAGCTGTTCATCCAAAATGGTTAACAGATAGTTCGATGGCTGACGGCTACAGATGTAATGCTTAACAAAGTTGTATCAAATGCGCATACGACAGAGGGAGACGATTAAATTAGAAGAAAGAAATGAATCCACTGCAGAGAAATAGATAAGGCTAACCTGATGAAGACCTAGTCGCCCAGAGGATGAGTAAAAGTTCACAAGACATATGTCTGGGATCATCCTTGGAAGTATGCCTTCGGAATTGCTAGTTTTAGAATCTTTCATAATAAGGGACTGGGACTCTTTGATTGCACTTTCAACCAACTGAAAGAATTTATCAGGAATCTTTGGCGGTATAGCACCATCAACAGGTCGATGATCTCCATATTGACTTGTCTCAGGGTCCCAATTCTTACCAAGGCACATCATCATCAAATTCAGCTTTGCTCCATCACGGTAACCAGGTTTGTAGAAACCTCCAGAACCCAAACCCAAGTCTCGGCATAACTTGACCATATTCATCTAGAAGAAATCAAAAACAGAAAATCTCACAATCCATCAACTTAGTCTACAAGTTTCATATACCATTCACATATTTCAGATTGGTGAAACATAATTATCAGTTGGAGAATGATTTAACAATGAAAACTAATCACAGAATTTAGAAGAAGTAAAAGAACAAAAAGAAGCACCTGGTCATCGAGGGAAAGGTAACTTTTTAATAGAACCATTCCAGACTGCAAAACACTTCCACTGTTCTGTTCCTTGGAGCGCTTGATTTCATTCCGCCTTTCTCTATTCTGTACTAGCAGAGGAGCCTTTAGGGTAATAGAACCCCTTGATTTAGGAGGACATAAATCAAAAGTCAAGTGTTCAGAAGGCTCTGGCTTCCCTTGGTTGGTTGCATTTACAGGACTGTTAATAGGGAATGGCACACCATGGGCCTCAGATTTGCAGGGCAGAGTTACACTATCCTCTGTCATCTCACTCGGGGTTTCTCTAATCTGCATTCTCTCTACCCCGGTATGCAAATTCTCAGAATAACTCAGATTAGAAAACAAAGGAGGATGCTCTCCGTAGCTTGAATCTGAGACAATTGACAAATTTGAAACTTTCGGGTTAACACCCCTGGACTCAGTTGATTTATGTCCCTCCTTAAAACTCTCAGAATGAGAATGCGTGTCCTCTCTTCCAGATGAATGCCATTCCTGCCGATGTGCAGAACTGGTGGCAGGTTTATGCTCAGAATGATGTGATACCCGAAACTCATAGTTACCTGAGGAGTCATTAGAAAATGTTCCACGAGTTCCAACCCCAGCCTGCTGTTTGTGCAAACAGTGTGAATAAACACAGTTCAATCAACTCAACTCCACAAAATCATGTGCAAGGATAACCAACATAAACGTCGAAGATAACCAAACAAATCCATTTCATAAAAGAGCAGCTAAACAAATGAAATGCCACTAAATCTACCAAGGAATGGAGCTGAGTCAAGACATCAAAACTACAAACCAGCCGTAAATTTATAACAGTTTTCCCATCCCAGACTTGAATTCGTAGACCATCGTGCTCAAACGTACTAAATCAAAACACAAACCAACTATGATTTGTCTAAACACCTATGCTGCTCAAAGTAAACACTTTTAAACCATTGACCACCACATGCTTGAAAATTCTCTTACTAACACCCAGTTCCCATAACACATTCTAAACCCTAAAACCCTAAATGAATCATTTTGAAAGTGCAAAAGTAAGAAAAAGTTCCAAACTTTTCAACCAGAACTCACATTACATTCCAATTTAATTTCAAAATCTCAAAGCATGTAAAATTAGAGTCTTTCACTCAAATCTAACAAAAGTTCATTATAAAATGCACAAAAATCCCATGATTAACAAGATCATAATCATAGAAAAGATGCAAAAAAAAAAAAAAAAAAAAAAAAACCAAGAAATCAAGTCTGTCAATAGATAGGGGTGGCGATAAACTTACAGGGCTGTGGAGATTGGAAGGGTGGCCGGCGGCGAGAGGATAACGTCGGCCACGTCGTTGGTTTCCTCGAGCTTGACCTCCGCGATTCGTAGGAAAACGTCCGCCTCGGAGGCTTTGTGGAGCTTGACCTCCCCGGTTCGTGGAGAATCGTCCGCCGCGGGTGATGTCGCCATCTTGAGCGCGATTGTCCATGGAGTTTCTTGGACCTAAATCGCTGTAATTGGCGGGGAAATTACGGTTAATTTTGGAAGAAACGAAAGGAAATGACTGAACAGTTGAAAACGGTGAAAAGTGAGAAGTGAGGAGGAGAGATCGAAAGGAAAGTTAATATTTGATTATATTAGAAAATGGATGGAATTTGTTGGAGGGATAGATGCGATCTGTGAGTCCTTCAGCCTGAAGTTAGCAAGTCTTTTCAACTTCTTGGCTTTTCACCTTTAACGATTCTCCACGAAATGCTGACGAAAGGAATAACTCGCATAAATCTTTACATTTTTTAGGGCTATTTACTCGATTGCACACAATTTTTTACATTTTATTCCTCACTAGCCTTCATGCATGCGCTCAAGCAGAATGTATTTTTTCAACACGATGTGATATATGTGACTTACATATTTTAAATATATATATATATATGTGTAAATTAACAAAAGAAAAGTTAAATATTTGAAGTAAATGAATAATCTTAAATGAAAAAACGTCTCATAAATCAATTAAAGCATCTGACTTCACATAATAAAATTGGCCTCTATAGAATTTACATTAAGAATAGAGAAAATAATATTTAATAAACAATTGATTGAATCACATTATTGCTACCCATTATAAGGCTAAGCTCACCCCTTCCGCTTTAGTGTAAATAATATCGTTTGTTAAAAAAAAAATCATTTAACAACTAATTTAATCATATTATTATCCGTGTGCAAAATATTTTTTTTATAATCGGCATTACACACCTCTTAAGATGTTTTGAACGTGTTTAAAATAGAGAAAATAATATTTAATAAACAACTGATTGAATCACATTGTTGCTAGTCCATTGTGAGGCTAAACTCACCTCCCTCCCCCTTAGTATAGATAATATTGTATGTTAGCATTATATGTCTCTTAAGATGTTTTGAACGTATTTAGAAATAGATAAATTAAATCAAATTATTACTAACCTATTGTGAGGTAAATTAAAAAAAAAACCACAAAATAATTTAATTATTAAAAAAATACTATTAAATGACGAAAATGCCCTGCCTTATTTGATGCTTTTGAAGTTTTTGTTTTGGGGGCATTTTTGTCCAATTTTTTTGTTGAAGTTTGGTGACACCAAAACACTATTCACCTTTTATTCTCTCCTTATATATAATAGATAGATATTTAGTGCACTAGTAATCCATTTAATATTTTTAAAACATTTCAATCGCATATTTAGTTATTATTTC